CCCCTCCACTTGGGTTTTAATTTTTAACCCTTCAAATTTTCGGTTTTTTAAACCCAAAAACCAACGATGTAAAATAAAGGGGTTTGTTCCCCCATAAATGTATACTTGCTGCGGCCCTTTGTTTAAAAAACCGTTCCCCCCTTCCAACATTGTTAAAAAATTTCTTTTTAATTTTTCCCTTAAAACCAAAATTTTTCCCCCCAATAAAGTAACCAACCCCCTTAGTTTAATAATTTTTTTAAAATAATTATTTACAATGCATTTTTTTTTCTTTGGGGAGAGTGGTTTCCCCGGTTTGCCCCGGAAAGAAGTAGAGGTAAACCTTTTCCCATCCTAAGGATTTCATTTTCCCGTTTTTTTTTTATAGAAGGAACCTTCATTTTCCTCACGACCGTAAAAAGGATTAAAACTCAGTTTAATCCCCAGGGAATCCCAAGGGAAGGATTAAAAATAGGGTAAATTTTTCCCCCGTAAAATTTTTACCCTTTCCCTTCTGGGATTATTCACGTATTTTTCCCGGTTTCAGGAAAAGTTAAAAACACTGCAATTTTGGCCCCGGAACAATAAATTTCCCCCTTGTTTTCCTCATTAAAAATTTTTTTTTTCCAACTTTCCGGAATTTTTAATCCTATTTTTCCTTAACAATTTCCTCGTTTTTCCCGGACGATTTAATTTTTAAAATACCCCGGAAAGAGTGGGTCTTCCCCTTCCCACGGAGCAGGTGATTAACGACTTTTTTTTTCCCGGAAATTCCCAAATTTAGGTGGAATTAAACCAGTTTGCCCTGGCCCGACAAATTTAAAGGAAAATTTTCCCCGGAGGCTGGATTTTAACCAGGGTTTTCCCTTCTCCTGAGATGAAACGTTACCCCTTTAACCCCTGAAAATTTTAAATGGCCGTTTGCCTCGGTAAATTACGTGAGAGTGATTACACGAGTTTGTCCTCCGGTACGACTGAAAGTTATTTTCACTGCATTTTGCCTCTGGTAAATGACTGAGAGTGATTACACTGCAGTTTTTTCCCCTGGGGACTGAAGTGGGGAAATGTTTACACTGCAGTTTTTCCTCGGTACCGACGGAGAGTGTATTACACTGATTTTTCCTTTTGGTACTGACGTGAAAGTGAAATTTCACTCAGTTTTTCCTCCGGTACTGACGTGAGATTTTATTCAAAATAATTTTTTCCTCAGGAAATGACGTGAGGGGTGTTTACAAAATGAGTTTGTCCTTGAAATGACGTGGGGTGGGAAATTTCACTTTGTTTTTCCCTGGTACTGACGTGAGGGGTGTATTTCACGGGAGTTTTTTTCCCTGGGACTGACGTGAGAGTGTATTTCACTGTAGTTTTTTTCCTTTTTTACTGGGCGTGAGAGTGTATTTCCCCGAGTTTGTCCCCTGGGACTGAAAGTGAGAGTGTTTACACTAGTTTGTCCCGGTACGACGTTTAGAGTGTTAACACTGATTTGGTTTCCCCTGGTACTGACGTGAGAGTGTATTACCTGCAGTTTGTCCTCCTGGTACTGAAGTGAGAGTGTTTACACTGTAGTTTTGATTTCCCTGGGGACGACAAAAAGTTTTATTAAAACTGCAGTTTGTCCTCTGGTACGGGCGTGAGAGTGTATTACACGGGAGTTTTCCTCTGGTAAATGACGTGAGAGTGTGTTAAAACTGCAGTTTGTCCTCTGGTACTGGGAAAACCCCGGTTTTTTAAAGGATGGTAAAAATTAAAACTGTTAAATTTTTCCTCTGGGACTGACTAGAGTGTATTACCTTTGTTTGCCCCCTGGTACTGACGTAAAGTGTTAACACTGCATTTTTTTCCCCCTGTACTGACGTAGAGTGTATTACACTGAGTTTTTCCTCTGGACTGGGCTGAAGGGGTATTACAAAATTAGTTTGCCTCTGGTACTTTACTGAAAGTGTATTTTCACTGCAGTTTGCCTCTGGTACTGACTTTAGAGTGTTTAACACTGGGAATTTGTCCTCGGGGACTGATCGTGAGAGTGTAATTTCAAATGGAGTTTTCCTCTGGGACTGACGTGAAAGTGTTTACCTGCAGTTTGCCTCTGGTACTGACGTGAGAGTGTATTACACCAGTTTTGGCCTCCGGTACTGACGTGGGGGAGTGTTTTCACTGAAATTTGTCCTCTGGTACGACTTTAAAGTGTTTACACTATTTTTCCCCTGGGACTGACGTGAGAGTGTTTTACACTGGGAGTTTGGTCCTCTGGGACTGACCCTGGAGTGTATTACACGAGTTTGTTTTCCTGGGGGGAAATTGGGCGTAAGTGTATTACACTGAGTTTGTCCTCTGGAAATGAAACCCCTAAAAATGTTTAAAACTCAAATTTGTCCCCTGGTACTGACGAGAAAAATAATTCACTGAGTTTTTTCCCCTGGTACTGACTGAGAGTGTATTACATGCATTTTTCCTCGGTACTGACGTGAGAATGTTTGCACTGGTTTGTCCCCTGTAAATGACTGAAAGTGTATTACACCCGCAGTTTGTCCTCTGGTACTGACGTGGGGAGTGTTTACACTGCAGTTTTTTTCCTCTGGGTTTCTTACCCTGGGGAGTGTTTACACCCGCATTTGCCTCTGGTACTGACGTGAGAGTGTATTAAAACTGAGTTTGTTCCCCGGTAAATGACGTGAGAGTGAAAATTTCACTGAGTTTTTTCCTCTGGGACTGACGTGAATGTATTAAAACTAGTTTTTTCCCCTGGGGACTGGGCGTGAAAGGTTAAAACTTTCAGTTTGTCCTCTGGTATTTACGTTTAAGTGTATTTCACTGCAGTTTGTCCTCTGGTACTGACTTGAGAGTGTATTCACTAAATTTGTCCTCTGGTACGATGAAAAGTATTACACTGAGTTTGTCCTCTGGTACTGACGTGAGAGTTTTATTTAAAACTGCAGTTTTTTCCTCTGTAAAGGGCGTAGAGTGAATTTCACTGCATTTTTCCCCTGGGACTGACCCTGAGAGGTTTACCTGCAGTTTGTCCCCTGGAAATGACGTGAGGTGTATTTCCTGCAGTTTGTCCCTGGTACTGCGAGAAAATTTTATTACACTGTTGGTTTTTTTCCTCCCGGTACTGACTGAAGTGTATTACACTGCAGTTGGGCCTCTGGTACAACGAGAGTTTTAAAACACTGCAGTTTGTCCCCCTGGTTTTGGGGGGGGGGGGGGGGGGGGGGGGGGGGGGGGGGGTGGGGGGGGTTTTGGTTTGTTGGACTGACGTAGAAATGAAATTTCACTGCATTTTTCCCTGGTACTGACGTGAAATGTATTTCACCCGATTTGTCCCCGGGACTGACGTGAAAGTTATTACACTGCAGTTTTTCCTCCGTTTTTTCCTGAAATTGTTTCAACCTTGCAGTTTCCCTGGGGACTGACCAGGGGGTGTATTTTTCCTCATTTGCCTCCGGTATTTCCCGACTGAGAAGGGGGGCAACTGGGCGTTTTACCCCCTTGTACTACGGAGAGGAATTTCCGGCCCGGGTCCCGGGAAATGACTGAGGGGGAAACACTGGGTTTTTTCCTCCCACCGTGGAGGGAACCCCAGTTTTCCCCCCTGGTTACGGGCGGGAGGGGTGGATTTTAAAAAGGGGGGTTTTTTGGGGGCTTTTAGGTATGGGGGAAAAGGGGGGGTTAAGAGGGCCTAAAAAAGGAGAGTGAGAGAGTTAAACTGAAATTAAAGTTCCTTTTAAAAACTTGGGGTTTATTTGAAATTTGGATTTGGTATAATGAAGTTATTTTTCCAATTCATTTTTTCCTCTTTATTATAATTAATAAATCTTTTTTTATTTTTTTATTATTACAATTATTTTTTTTAATATTAAGTATTTTTAAATAATTTTTATTTATTATTAATTTTTAAATATTTTTTTTATTATTAATTTTTTAAAAATTTTTCTTAATTTTTGGTAATTATTAAATTATTTTTTTTTAAATTATAGAATTTTTTAATTTTTTAAATCATTTTTCCTTTTTATTAATTTTTTAATTTATTAATCATTTTTTTTGGGGATTAATTAATTATTTTCATTTTTTTTTTTTTTATTATTAATTATACATTTGGGTTTTTAAATTTTGGGTTGGGGTGGGGGTTATTTTGGGGGGCGGGGTTGGGGGGTTTGGGGTTTTGGGGGGGATTATAATTTTTAATTATTTTTTTTATTATTAATTAATTTTTAAATTTTTTTAATTTTTTCCTTCTTTTACTAATTTTTTTTTTTTATTAAATTTAATTTTTTTTTTGGTTTTTTATTTTATTTTTAATTTTTATTAAAATTTTAAATTTTTATTTTTTAATTTTTTTAAAGGAGGTGAATTTTTGCCCAGCCCCCGAACAGTAACCTTTCGGTCCTGGGGCCCCCGAAAAAGGCGTGGCGCCGTGGGCTACCCCTTCCCGGCCCTCCCAACCTGAAAGCCCCGGACGGCTGGGGGTTTTTTCCCCCGGGAATCTGATCCGGGTCCAAAAAGTATGGGGGGGACGCCCATCACCTGGAGGGAAAAATTTTCGACCCCCTTGGGCCAAAGGAAAAAACAGGCCAACCAAAAAAATAAAAATTAAAGGGAAAACCCCCTTTGGGGGTAAAAAGGAAAAAAGAGGGGGGAAGGGGGAGGGAGTTTAAGGGTCTTTAAAAAAATTTTTGAAAAAAGGATGGAGGAGGGAAAGGGAATTAGAGAAAATGCTGGGGGAAAAAGTGTAAACGCTTTTTAAAATTTCTTCTGCGGAGGGGGAAAAATTGGTTTGAGAAAATAAGATAAATCCGGGGGTTTAAATCACCGGGGGGAAATATTTTTATTAGGGATTTCAAAAAAGGGGATTGGGCTGGGAAAAAGGGGGGCCCAAGGGGGGAAAATTGGAAACCGAGTGGTTTTATTTAAAAACCCCTTATTAAATTTTTTTTAAATTTTATTATTATTTTAATTTTTATTATTTTTTTATTTTTTAAAAGAAGTGGTGAGGGTTGGTGTTCGTCGACAGTCCAGAGTACATGGGGGCCATGTGGGGCGGCTACCAGGGGCACCTGCAGTGGCGACCCATGGAGGTCAAGTCAGGTCAGATACAGTCCAGGATCTATGCCACCTGCTCGCCAGACCTCACCACCTGCCCCAACGCCATCTGTGACGAGCTGGAGCGACTTCATCCGGGTATCTGCCCTCAGGATTGTATAGGTGAGAGGGCGACGCCATCTGTGAGGTGACAGTGGTCTCGACCCCTCTGTCGACCAGGAGGCAAATACACGCACACACAAAACAAAACTCACCAGAATAATAACAGATTCAATCTTTCCATCCGGATATCAAATCTTCAGGAAAGACAGAGGGAGGAGAGGGGGAGGAGGAGTTGCACTGCTCATTAAAAACCAGTGGGGTTTTGAGAAAATGGAAGGAATGGATGGCATGGGCGAAAGGGACTACTTAGTAGGAACAATCCAGTCTGAGGGACATAAGGTGATAATTGCAGTAATGTACAACCCACCACAGAACTGCAGGAGGCCAAGAGAAGAATACGATGAGAGCAACAGAGCAATGATCAACACACTACCGAGGTGGCCAGGAGAGCACACATGGGGGAGCAAAGTTACTAGTTATGGGTGATTTCAATCACAAGGAGATTGACTGGGAAAACCGGGAGCCCCAGGGGGTCCCGAAACATGGAGAGCCAAGATGATGGATGTGGTACTGGAGAACCTCATGCATCAACATGTTAGAGACACTACCAGAGAGAGAGGAAGGATGAACCAGCTAGGTTGGACCTTGTATTCACCATGAGTAGTTCGGACATCGAGGGTATCATGTATGAAAGGCCCCTGGGAGCTAGTGATCATGTGGTTCTGTGCTTCGACTACATAGTTGAGCTCCAAGTGGAGAGAGTAGCAGGAATAGGCTGGGAAAAACCAAACTACAAAATGGGGAACTACTCAGGCATGAGGAACTTCCTTCAAGACATTCAGTGGGAGAGGGAACTGCCCAGGAAAACCAGTACAAGAAATGATGGACTATGTAGCAACAAAATGCAAGGAGGCAGGAGAGGTTTGTTCCCAAGGGAAACAGAAATAATGGGAAGAACAGAACGAGTCCTTGGTTCACCCAAAGGTGTAGGGAGGCAAAAACTAGTGTACTAGAGAATGGAAAAGGTACAGAAGACGAGAACTCAGGAAAATAAAGAAATCAGCCGAAGAGCCAGAAACGAATATGCACATGATAAGAAGGGAGGCTCAGAGACAATATGAAAATGACATAGCATCAAAAGTAAAGACTGACCCAAGCTGTTGTACAGCCACATCAGGAGAAAACAACAGTCAAGGACCAGGTAATCAGACTGAGGAAGGGTGATGGGGAATTCACAAGAAACGACCGAGAGGTATGTCAGGAGCTCAACACAAGATTTAAAGAGGTATTTACAGTGGAAACCAGTAGGACTCCAAGAAATCAGAACAGGGGGGCACACCAGCAAGTGCTGGATAGGTACATATAACCAAGGAGGAGGTGAAGAAGCTGCTATGCGAACTTGACACCTCAAAGGCGGTGGGTCCAGACAACATCTCTCCATGGGTCCTTAAAGAGGGAGCAGAGATATTGTGTGAGCCATTAACAAAGATCTTCAACACATCATTTGAAACTGGGCAACTCCCTGAGGAATGGAAAAATGGCAAATGTAGTCCCAATTTTTAAAAAGGGAGACAGACATGAGCACTAAACTACAGACCTGTATCACTAACGTGTATAGTATGCAAGGTCATGAGAAGATCATCAGGAGGAGAGTGGTGGGGCACCTGGAAAGAAACAAGTGTATAATTGACAACCACACGTTTCAGGAAGGAAAATCCTGTGTCACAAACCTACTAGAGTTTTATGACAAGGTGACAGAAGTAAGACAAGAGAGAGAGGGGTGGATCGACTGCGTATTTTTGGACTGCAAGAAGGCTTCGACACAGTTCCTCACAAGAGGTTACTGCAAAAGCTGAGGACCAGGCACACATAACAGGAAAGGCACTGCACTGGATCAGAGAATATCTGACAGGGAGGCAACAACGAGTCATGGTACGCGACGAGGTGTCAGAGTGGGCGCCTGTGACAAGCGGGGTTCCACAGGGGTCAGTCCTAGGACCTGTGCTGTTCTTGTATACGTGAACGACATAACGGAAGGGATAGACTCAGAAGTGTCCTTGTTTGCAGACGATGTGAAGTTAATGAAGAAGAATCGAATCGGACGAGGATCAGGCAGACTACAAAGAGATCTGGACCAGGCTACAAGCCTGGTCCAGCAACTGGCTCCTTGAATTTAACCCTGCCCAAATGCAAAGTCATGAAGATTGGGGAAGGCAAAGAAGACCGCAGACACAATATAGTTTAGATGGCCAAAGACTGCAAACCTCACTCAAGGAAAAAGATCTGGGGTGAGTATAACACCGAGCATATCTCCTGAGCGCACATCAATCAGATAACTGCTGCAGCATACGGGCGCCTGGCAAACCTACGGATAGCGTTCCGATACCTCAGTAAGGATTCGTTTAAGACTCTGTACACCATCTACGTCAGGCCCATACTGAGTATGCAGCACCAGTTTGGAATCCACACCTAGTCAAGCACGTCAAGAAATTAGAGAAAGTGCAAAGGTTTGCAACAAGACTAGTCCCAGAGCTACGGGGATTGTCCTAGAAGAAAGGTTGAGGAAATCGGCCTGACGACACTGGAGGGCAGGAGGGTCAGGGAGACATGATAACGACATATAAAATACTGCGCGGAATAGACGAGGTGGACAAAGACGGATGTTCCAGAGAATGGACACAGACACAAGAGGTCACAATTGGAAGTTGAAGACTCAGATGAATCAAAGGGATGTTAGGAAGTATTTCTTCAGTCATAGAGTAGTCAGGCCATGGAATAGCCTAGAAAGTGATGTGGTGGAGCAGGAACCATACATAGTTTTAAGGCGAGGTATGATAGAGCTCATGGGGCAGGGAGAGAGAGGACCTAGTAGCAATCAGCGAAGAGGCGGGGCCAGGAGCTGTGACTCGACCCCTGCAACCACAAATAGGTGAGTACACACATACACATTATGTGTGTGTGTGTGTGTGTGATTTCGCTTGTTACGTTATATGTTTGTATGTCAGTTTTCTCATCCCTTTCCCCTCACTCTCCATCACGTACATTCTCTCTCTCTCTCTCCTCTCTCTCTCTCTCCTTCTCTCTCTCCTCTCTCTCTCCTCCTTTCTCTCTCTCTCCTCTCCTCTCTCTCTCTCTCATCTCTCGTCTCTCTCTCTCTCTCTTTCCTCTCTTCTCTCTCTTCTCTCTCTCTCTCTCTCTCGTCCTCTCTCTCTCTCTCCTCTCTCTCTCCTCCTCTCTCTCTTCTCTCTCTCTCTCTCTCTCTCTCTCTCTCTCTCCTCTCTCTCTCTCTCTCTCTCTCCTCTCTCTCTCTGTCTCTCCTCTCTCTCTGTCTCTCTCCTCTCTCTCTCTCTCTCACTCTCTCTCCTTCCTCCTCTCTCTCTCTCTCGTCTCTCCTCTCTCTCTCTCCTCTCTCTTCTCTCTTCTCTCTCTCTCCTCTCTCTCTCTCTATCTCTCTCTATCTCTCTCTTCTCTCTCTCCTCTCTCATCTTCTCTCTCCTCTCTTCTCTGCTCTCTCTCCTCTCTCTCCCATCTCTCTCTCTCCTCCTCTCCCTCTCCTCTCTCTCTCTCTCTCTCTACCTCTCCACCTCTCCCCCTACACCCTCAAACTCCCTCACAAGCCCACTAACTCCCCCACACCCACAAACTCCCCCCACACCCACAAACTCCCCCACACCCACAAACTCCCCCACACACCCACTAACTCTCGGCCACACTCCCACAGACGCGTCGTGGAAGCAAGGTCAGATCATGACCATCTCTGACGGGGGTCGCGGCATCTCAGCTGGTCTGGGTGTGTGTAGCTGTGAGGGGAACGGTTGTACCTGCTTCCCGGCGCTACCTGAGGAACCCTCATCATCCTCAGACCCTCCTCTCAAGACACCCACCTACAGTAAGTTCTAACACTCTTGAGTAAGTTCTAACACTCTTGAGTAAGTTCTGACACTCTTGAGTAAGTTCTAACACTCTTGAGTAAGTTCTAACACTCTTGAGTAAGTTCTAACACTCTTGAGTAAGTTCTGACACTCTTGAGTAAGTTCTGACACTCTTGAGTAAGTTCTAACACTCTTGAGTAAGTTCTGACACTCTTGAGTAAGTTCTGACACTCTTGAGTAAGTTCTAACACTCTTGAGTAAGTTCTAACAGTCTCGAGTAAGTTCTGACACTCTTGAGTAAGTTCTAACACTCTTGAGTAAGTTCTAACAGTCTCGAGTAAGTTCTGACACTCTTGAGTAATTTCTGACATTCTTGAGTAAGTTCTGACACTCTTGAGTAAGTTCTAACACTCTTGAGTAAGTTCTAACACTCTTGAGTAAGTTCTAACACTTGAGTAAGTTCTAACACTCTTGAGTAAGTTCTAACACTCTTGAGTAAGTTCTGACACTCTTGAGTAAGTTCTAACACTCTTGAGTAAGTTCTAACACTCTTGAGTAAGTTCTAACACTCTTGAGTAAGTTCCAACACTCTTGAGTAAGTTCTAACACTCTTGAGTAAGTTCTAACACTTGAGTAAGTTCTAACACTCTTGAGTAAGTTCTAACACTCTTGAGTAAGTTCTGACACTTGAGTAAGTTCTAACACTCTTGAGTAAGTTCTAACACTCTTGAGTAAGTTCTAACACTCTTGAGTAAGTTCTAACACTCTTGAGTAAGTTCTAACACTTCAGTAAGTTCTAACACTCTTGAGTAAGTTCTAACACTCTTGAGTAAGTTCTGACACTCTTGAGTAAGTTCTGACACTCTTGAGCAAGTTCTGACACTCTTGAGTAAGTTTTAACACTCTTGAGTAAGTTCTAACAATCTTGAGTAAGTTCTAACACTCTTGAGTACGTTCTGACACTCTTGATTAAGTTCTGACACTCTTGAGTAAGTTCTAACAATCTTAAGTAAGTTTTAACACTCTTGAGTAAGTTCTAACAATCTTGAGTAAGTTCTAACACTCTTGAGTACGTTCTGACCCTCTTGATTAAGTTCTGACACTCTTGAGTAAGTTCTAACACTCTTGAGTAAGTTCTAACACTCTTGAGTAAGTTCTAACACTCTTGAGTAAGTTCTAACACTCTTGAGTAAGTTCTAACACTCTTGAGTAAGTTCTAACACTTGAGTAAGTTCTAACACTCTTGAGTAAGTTCTAACACTCTTGAGTAAGTTCTGACACTCTTGAGTAAGTTCTGACACTCTTGAGTAAGTTCTGACACTCTTGAGTAAGTTTTAACACTCTTGAGTAAGTTCTAACAATCTTGAGTAAGTTCTAACACTCTTGAGTACGTTCTGACACTCTTGATTAAGTTCTAACACTCTTGAGTAAGTTTTAACACACTTGAGTAAATTCTGACACTCTTGATTAAGTTCTAACAATCTTAAGTAAGTTCTGACACTCTTGAGTAAGTTCTGACACTCTTGAGTAAGTTCTAACACTCTTGAGTAAGTTCTAACACTCTTGATTAAGTTCTAACACTCTTGATTAATTTCTAACACTCTTGAGTAAGTTCTAACACTCTTGAGTAAGTTCTAACACTCTTGATTAAGTTCTAACACTTGATTAAGTTCTAACACTCTTGATTAAGTTCTAACACTCTTGATTAAGTTCTAACACTCTTGATTAAGTTCTAACACTCTTGATTAAGTAGTTCTAACACTCTTGATTAAGTTCTAACACTTGATTAAGTTCTAACACTCTTGATTAAGTTCTAACACTTGATTAAGTAGTTCTAACACTCTTGATTAAGTTCTAACACTCTTGATTAAGTAGTTCTAACACTCTTGAGTAAGTTCTAACACTCTTGAGTAAGTTCTAACACTCTTGATTAAGTTCTAACACTCTTGATTAAGTTCTAACACTCTTGAGTAAGTTCTAACACTCTTGAGTAAGTTCTAACACTCTTGAGTAAGTTCTGACACTCTTGATTAAGTTCTAACACTCTGATTAAGTTCTAACACTCTTGATTAAGTTCTAACACTCTTGATTAAGTTCTAACACTCTTGAGTAAGTTCTAACACTCTTGAGTAAGTTCTAACACTCTTGATTAAGTTCTAACACTCTTGAGTAAGTTCTGACACTCTTGAGTAAGTTCTAACACTCTTGATTAAGTTCTAACACTCTTGAGTAAGTTCTGACACTCTTGAGTAAGTTCTAACACTCTTGAGTAAGTTCTGACACTCTTGATTAAGTTCTAACACTCTTGAGTAAGTTCTGACACTCTTGAGTAAGTTCTAACACTCTTGATTAAGTTCTAACACTCTTGAGTAAGTTCTGACACTCTTGATTAAGTTCTAACACTCTTGATTAAGTTCTAACACTCTTGATTAAGTTCTAGCACTCTTGATTAAGTTCTAACACTCTTGAGTAAGTTCTGACACTCTTGAGTAAGTTCTAACACTCTTGAGTAAGTTCTAACACTCTTGATTAAGTTCTAACACTCTTGAGTAAGTTCTGACACTCTTGAGTAAGTTCTAACACTCTTGAGTAAGTTCTAACACTCTTGATTAAGTTCTAACACTCTTGAGTAAGTTCTGACACTCTTGAGTAAGTTCTAACACTCTTGAGTAAGTTCTAACACTCTTGAGTAAGTTCTAACACTCTTGATTTAAGTTCTAAACACTCTTGAGTAATTCTGACACTCTTGAGTAAGTTCTAACACTCTTGATTAAGTTCTAACACTCTTGAGTAAGTTCTGACACTCTTGAGTAAGTTCTGACACTCTTGAGTAAGTTCTGACACTCTTGAGTAAGTTCTAACACTCTTGATTAAGTTCTGACACTCTTTAGTAAGTTCTAATACTCTTAATTAAGTTCTAACACTCTTGATTAAGTTCTCACTCTTGGTAATTTAACTTAATTCTAATCTCTTGATAATCTAAAACTCTTGATTAAGTTCACACTCTTGATTAAGTCAAACTCTTGATTAAATTCACATCTTGAGTAAGTTCTGCCCCTTTGAGTAAGTTCTAAACTCTTGATTAAGTTCACACTCTGAGTAAGTTCTGACACCTTGATAAGTTCTGACACTCTTTTGTAATTCTAAACCTTGATAAGTTTAAAACTCAATAAGTTCTAAAAATCTTATAAGTTTTAACTCTTATAATTCTAAACTCTGTAGTTTACCA